TCTCTCTCTCTCTCTCTCTCTCTCTCTCTCTCTCTCTCTCTCTCTCCTTGGTTCTAGATAGGATCTCTCTGTTTAGGCCAGGCTGGCCTTGAGCTAGAGGTAATCCACCTGTCTCAGGCTCCAAATACCAAATGCAGCCCCGCCCTGCCCACGTTCTTTCTGACACTACTCAGCGGAGGGTCTGAGGGTTCTCCAGCTCCTCTGAAAACTGGAACTTAAGACGTTTAAGCTGCCCTTGCCTTCCCAAGCCCAGCGGTACCGTGCACACAGACCTATAGCAGCTCTGTACACAATGGAAGCGTTAAATGGAACTTGTGGGGAGTTTCCCCTTAGCTGTGTCAGCAGACTTGGTGAGAAATCCCCCCCCCCCCAGTGCTGGAAGCTGCAGGAAGGGGCTGGTCATGGGAAGAAAGCCCGCTTTTAAAAACAGTAGGACATGCAAGAAGGACTTGTAAGCTGGTTTCCAAAGGGTCACCTGAACTCTGCAGAGACAGGCCCAGAAAAAGTTCCTTCTCAGAGAGAGAATGTTCTCCACTTCATGGGAGTGGAGAAACCTCTGAAGCAAGGGCCAAGTCAGAGGCTGCCCTCCTCAGCAGTGGCTGGAGTGCCCCCTCAGCAGGGAGGGGCAGAGCCCTGAGGAACTTAGGTTTGCCCACAGCTATCCATTTCAATCCCCTCGCTCCCCGGGGTTTACCCACAGATGCCTCAGGACACTGACAGGAGCCAACGCTGACCTAAAGCCACGCCATCGGTTTCGAAAATCAGCTTAGTCCTTGGGCTAGCTTCCAGCAGCTTTCTCAAGCCTTCTTGGCTTACAGAGTCTATACACATGCCTCCCAGCCCATAATAGCCCCGGGACCAAGGATTGACCTTGCTCCCACTTAACAGTATCCAGGTCGAACTTCAGAGGAATCAAGTGAATCAATCACAGAAGGTAGTTAGGGACAAAGGAGTCACCCTGCTGTAGACCCTCCTTCCATTTAGTGACCCATAATGATGGTCATCATTATCCTTCTGAACATCTGTTTTGTGTGTACACATGTGCGTGCAGCTACTGGCGAACAAATGTGGGCGTGTGAAGGTCAGAGAGCAACCATAAGCAGCATTCCCCAGGCCTCATCCACGTTGTTGTTGTTGTTGTTGTTTTGAGACAGGCTCTCTCACAAACCTAGAACTCACCAAGGAGGCTAGGTGCCCTAGCTGGGTCACGATTGCTGTGATGAAACACCTTAACCAAAGCAACTGGAGGAGGAAAGGGTTCACACTTCTGTTTCAACGTTCATCACTGAAGGAAGTCAGGACAGGAACTCACACAGGGCAGGATCCCAGAGGCAGGAGCGGATGCAGAGGCCATGGAGGGATGCTGCTTACTGCCTTGCTCCCCCTGGCTTGCTCAGCCTGCTTTCTTATAGAACCCAGGACCACCAGCCCAGGGATGACATCACCAACAAGGGGCTGGGCCCTCCTCCATCAATCACTAACTAAAAAAATGCCCTACAGTCTAGTCTACAGCCCAATCTTAAGGAGGTCTTTTCTCAATTGAGGCTCTCTCCTCTTCAATGACTCTAGCTTGTGTCAAAAAAACTCACCGGTATACTATGCTTACGGCCCAGGAGTGCGAGAAATATATCTACCTGATGCTGGGGTTGCAAATGTGACACTAAGGCTTTTTTTTTTTTTTTTTTTTTTTTTTTTTTTTTTTTACAGGGTTTCTCTGTGTAGCCCTGGCTGTCCTGGAACTTACTCTATAGCCCAGGCTGGCCTCAAACTCACAGAGCTCCACCTGCCTCTGCCTCGCAAGTGCTAGATTAAAGGCATGCGCCACCGCTGCCTATTTTTTTCTTTTTAAATAACTTATTTTTACTTTATGTGCGCTGGTTTTTTTTGCCTGCATATAGGTCTGTGAGAGGGTGTTGGATCCCCTGGAGCAGGAGTTACAGACAGTTGTGCTTGCTGGGAATTGAACCCAGGTCCTCCGGAAGAGCACCCATCTCTCCAGCCCCTTCCCCGCCTTTTTAACATGTGGGTTCTGGGTGTTGCAAGTCCTCAAGCTTGCAAGATGAACACTTTGACGACCAAGTCACCTTCCCAGCCCCCCCCACTCCACCCCTCCCTCCCCACCCTTACTCCCCCCACCCCGCTTTGAGTTATCTCCTGCATGCCTTTAGTCAGGCACTTCACTCTCATCAGTTCCTTTTTTCTTCAGAACAAGCCCAGATATAGGCAAGGGCATTCCTTTCACCCCGCCCCCTAGACTAGACAGTAATAGTAAGAGATCAGATTGGATGCCACATCCGGTGCTAAGCCCTTGCATGTGTGTAAACGCAGTCTCCAAGGGGCAGTAAATGGGAATCCCATCTCTGTTTCAGAGCCACAGGGACTGAGTCTCAAAGACATTGGGTTAATTGTCTGGGCTCACCTCCCAGGAAATGGCAGAAGGGGATTTGAACATCCCAGAGAGCGCAGGCCGCTGAACTAACTGAAAACCAAAATCCTCCCTCCCTGCCACCCCTCCAAGTGAAGCCACAGGGACCCTCCAGGTCCTGCATGTTCTCCTCTCCTCTACCTAAGAGGTAACCAACTCCACTTAGTACTGATCCCAAGAAGCAAAGCTCACAGGCGCAGACCGCCGCACAGTAGCATCCGGCTGTGTCACCCTGGCAAGACCAGAATCCAGCCTAACCGGAATCCTCAGTCTGCTACTGGCTGGTTGGACCAGGTAGTCAACCTTCTTGTCTGGGTCCCCAGGGGAAGTGCTTGGCTAGGAAGTGGAGGAGGAGTTTCAGGAGATGAGAGAAAGTCCTCTGTTGAGCTGTCTACCTCCCAGGAAGGGGAAAGATGAACTGCATGGGGGCGGGGAAGGTGCTGGGGGCTTCTGGAGTTGTGGGGAAGGGGTAACCTAGCAACCACTGGGCTCAGCAGTCACAAAGGTTTGCGCACAGTTCCGACAAGCCTTACCCTTGATTAGTCTTCTTCTCCATCCTGGTCAGGCACCAGGGGCTTCTGCTCATATGCTGTAGTGGACATCTTCCCGGTAAGTCCTCTGGAGGGCAGGAAATGAAATAGACTCTGGCTCCAGGTGACGACAAAGGAATGGGGGGCGGGGGTAAGAGGGCATCCTGTGGTTGGGTTGGTGGCTCTCTTCAGATCTCTTGTACCTGACTCTCAAGGAGCCCATGGTCAGAGGCAGGGGAGGGCAGGGATGGGCTATGGTGACCTCACCTGTCTCTCCTGCTAGGTCCCTACTGACCCCTCTAGTGTGGGGTGATGATTCATAAGCTCATTGGAGCTGTTCAGTGGGTCATGTCTAACACTCATAAAGCAAAAACAAAAACAAAAACAAACAAAAAACACCCACAAGACACAAGTATCCATGCACATCACATGTGTAGATACTGCTTCAGAGTACTCTCATGTCCATTGCGCGCACGCACACACGTTAACACATACTGAGACCTGAGGAAAAAATGGATTTCTTGATGTTGTGATGGTCAAAAATCATTGGAGAGTTTCCACTCTAAAGAGCACCTTTTCCCGTAGGCAGGTGGAAGAGGGACTTCCAGATGCCCTGTCTTCAAGCATGAAGCATCTAAGCACTAGGAGAACCCAGCCCTTGCCATCGATGATACCTGCCTGAAGCTTCCTGAAGAGGGAGCCCTGCTCACTGTTTTTAGACAAAAGGTCAGGAGCCCGTAGGTCAGATGCTAGATGCTAGCTAGTCCTTGCCTGCGCAGCCTCAAATGAGGCAAAACCTTCATATACTAACCAGATGGAGGTGGTACTGAGGCCTCACAGAGAACCTTGCAGATCTGTGATCCCGAGGGTCTTCCTCAGAATGCACTCTGTTCTGTCCCTTACACTTGTGTTGGGTTTGTAGACTGAATCACATTTTTTTTTTTCTCAGACAAGGTTTGTCTGTGTAGCTTTAGCGCCTGTAACTCGCTCTGTAGCCCAGGCTGGCCTCAAACTCACAGAGATCCACCTGCCTCTGCCTCCCGAGTGCTGGGATTAAAGGTGTGTGCCACCACCGCCCGGCTTAATCACAATGCCTGGTTTTGACATCGGTCACCTCTCATCCATTTCCTTTAATTGGCTTACTTACTAGTGTACTGAACTGTAGTAAATGTACCATCCACACATCTCCTGTGTACCCCTCTCCTCTTTGTCCTACTCAAAAGGGCCACTAGGGGAATTTCCTTAGTTGTTTTATTGTCTGGCCTCATGTTTGTGATAATTCTGTTTGCCAAGAAATGGTATGTACAGGTGTGTGTGTGTGTGTGCATGCGTGCGTGCGAGCGTAGAGGCATTTAGCAGCCTCCTCCACTGTAGGCGTTGGTTGGTTTTCTTCTTCCATCGCGTGGGTTGCAGGGATTAAACTCAGGCTTGGTGACACTTGCCTCAACCTGCTGGGCCATCTCGCTGGCCCTGTGAACTTTGACTTTTCAAAAGTATTTCCAAGCTGGGCGTTGGGGGCGGGGTGCGGGGGACGCCTTTCATTCCAGCACTCTGGAGTCAGAGGCAGATGGATCAAACTCACTCTCTGTGAGTTTGAGGCCAAGGCTGGCCTGGCCTACAGATCGAGTTCTAGGCCAACTAGGGCTACAATAGTGAGACCCTGTATCAGTGGTTCCCAACCTTCCTAATGCTGCGACCCTTTAATACAGACCCTCACGCTGTGGGGACCCCCCCACCATAAAATTATTTTGTTGCTACTTCATAACTGTAATTATGCTACTATTATAAATCATATGTAAATATCTGATATGCGACCCCTGTGAAAGGGTCCTTTGACCCCCAAAGGGGTTGGGACCCACAGGTTGAGAACCATTGCCCTATATGGTTTTTCTAAGCCATGTTAAGCACTATGTTTAAGATTTATCCGTCACTATGGTTCATTGCTTCTCACAGCAATCTAAAAGCTCCATGGTCTGAATATAGCCCAGGCTTACTCATGTTTCCAGATATATGTGATGCCATTGTTTCCCTCCCCACCTCCCACCCCACCCCCGCTGCTTTGGACCCTCCAAATAGCACTGCTCTCACAGATAAACCATGCTGCACAGCTGCAGGAGTTTTTCTTACGTCCAGTTTTACCACATGCTGTCCCCTTCTCCCCTCAGACAGTCTGTTCCAGTTTATGCACCCGCCACCAGGCCACCAGGCCACCAGAGCTGTGCCACCCATCGAGGACCCTGGCATTAGGATTCTAGCCTAATATATATCTCTCATCGCAGACCCTGTGATGAACACGGAGGTGAAAACCCAGTTGGCCGAGCACCTGCTAGAGAGGTGAGGCCCTGAATGCGCACGGGCCAGGAAGGGGTGGGGGAGGGGCGCCCAAAGGGGAGATGAGGCAGGATAGAAGACAGAGGTAGCCTTGGAGGAACTTGGTAAACTGGGGTCCAAGTTCCAGGAAAGGCGCCCCCCCCCCACACACACACCTTGGAATGCCATGCACCACGGCCTGAGTTTGCACAGGACTCTAAAATGCATGCTAGGAGGAGGCAGGACTGGAGCGCAGGTGCTCAGAGTTTCCAGTGACTTCCCTGATTTGGGGGTCGAGGAGTCTACTAACTGCCCTTTCAGAGACGTTTGCTTTTATTTCCTTAAATCCCAGATGGCCTAGAGCTGAAAGGAGACTGGAACAGGATACTCAGGGGCCCTCCCAGCAACATCCTCCCAGGAATCAGGGGAGGCATGCCTTGCTTAGCGTATTCCCAGCCCACCTCCGCTGGACCAAGGGACCTCCCTGCAGCCAGGGCCATCAGGAGAGGGAAGTGCAGAAAGCCACCAGGCAGGTGGTGCAGCAGGCCCTCCTGGGATACCTTTGGACCTAGGCTGACCTCCTCCTCGCCTTCAGGGACAGAGACTAAGCATCATCTGATCCTGGGGAGGGGGGGGGTGCTGGGAACCTGAGACACCTGGTCTCCAGCCTAGGCCAACAAGACAAGAGCGGGACGCTTCTCTCGCTGCGTCTGTGGTGTCGGCTCCGTGTCTTCTGGGAGGGACCACGGGGTGACAGGACTCGCTGGGACTGCCCTGGCCTTGGCTCTAGTTCTGACCCCTGGGGGCTGAGTCTAAGATAAGAACGGCACAGGGGAGGGTGACAGCCTCCCCAAGCTGGCCTCTTGGGGTTGCCAAAACTTTGGTTTGGGGAGAGGCCTCTAATAGGGCCAGCCTCTGTTCCCAGAGCATATATATATATATATATCTAAGGGGCTTTTGGTTCATCCTAGGGGTGTGGTGACTAGGTGGGTCTGAGGCTTCTCTTTCTGGTTTTAGATGTGGTCTCAGGAAGAAAGCGGGGATCCTGGGAGGTTCCATCTGCTCTGTGACAGATGAACCCCAGCTCCCTACCAAGGCATCTTAGGAAGACAGAGGCTCACTGGGACCGGATGGCATCACTGGGGAAGGATTCTGGGGGAACCAAGCTTTGGGGGCCATAGGGTGGTGCGGGTGCCATGAAGGCAGATTTCGGCCTCTGGGACTTGGGCTCCATGATAGGCCCTTGAGTCCTGAGGCCTGGTGAGCCAGAGGAAAACACCGTTCAGCTCTCTTTAACCATCCCTTTCAGTCCAAAGCCAGAGCCCGAGAAGAAGCCAGAGCACTTTTCAAGGAGCCACGGGGATGCTGGGTTCCAGAAAGAGCCTATGGTCCCAGGCATCGTGGATTTTGAGTTGATCCAAGAGGAGCTGAAGATCCCCAAGCCCCAAACGCCCAGCGCCTATCGCTTTGGACGCCTCAGCCACCATTCCTTCTTCTCTCGACACCACCCCCAACCACAGCGTGTGACCCACATCCAAGGTAGGGCCAAGTGGGCAGGATCTGGCTCTCGGGCCCTGCAGAAGTGGGTCTCCATGAGATCTGGTATAGAGGCATGCGTTCTTACCCCTTTCCTGGCAGAGCCTAGAGAGCATTGGGGCCTGCTGGGCATCCCAAGGGCTGGAGGCTTGGAGGAATGTGGAGGCTGCCTGCGGGCGTGGGGGTGGGGTGGGGGGTGGGGCGTGGGGGGTGGGGTGGGGGGACGATGGGACAACATCAGAGGTTCCCTCCAGAATCTCCCTCCCTCTGAGTCAGAGAAAGGGATGCACGTCCCACCTCAGAACTCTGCTCTGACCTCCAACTCATGCTGCTCCGTCCCTTTGGCCACCCATCCACCCACCCACCCACCCATCGGCAGCATTTACAGGGTATGAGCTAGAGGAGGACCCTTGTCTGGACTCCGAGGACATGACAGTAGGCAGAACAGACTACCGTCCCGTCTGTCCTGGAGCTGACACCCAGCTAGCTGGGAAGGAGGAGACATAGAGTAGATGTCACTGCCAGGTGGCAGGGAGGAAACAGCCACTTTCCAAAGGTCTGGGGCCAGAGTCCTAGTCAATAACACGATACTGAGAAAGCCTAAAGGAAGTCAGGGTGGGAGCCATGAGCACAAATCAATCCAGCACTAGGATGTCCTGCAGACAGACACAAGGGCCCCGGCTCTGTTGGAGGTACAGCAGGAGAGCCCCTGGGGTGTCTGCAGCAGGGTCAGAAGTGGAAGGGAAGAGACAGATGTTTCAGAGAGGCACTGGAGTTGGGTCAGGTGGACCCTGCAGGCTGCTGGTACTGTCTCAAGGCGCTTCAGCTTGACACGGCGTGTACGCCTATAACCCTGGCATTTGGAATGCAGAGGCAGAAGGATCGCCACAAGTTTAAGGCCACCCTGATCTACCTAAGAGGTCCTGCCTAGCCTGAGCCACCGAGTGAGATTCTGTCTGAAATTCATGATAGTAATCACTTCACTGAATCAAGTGGGGCCGTGGGGAGGGTGATAGCGCAGAAGTGGCCGTCAGAGGTATTTGAGCAAGGTCCTGCTGGCCTTGATGGAAGAAGATTCTAGAGCTCTAGTCTAGAGGTACAAGTCTAGGACTTGACCATTGGCTGAAGGTGGAGTATGGGGCAGAGAGGCATGGACGCCATCCCTTAATGGTCGGCTTGAGCAACTAGAGAACCAGAGTTCCAAGACGCCATCAAGGGTCAGCGGAGGAGGGGATAGAGGTGAGGAGGGGCCACGGGTGGAGGAAACAGCCGGGAACAGGCTGGGGAGATACCACTGTGAGAGCCACTTGAGAAGAAACAACGCACTGTGAAGACACGAAAGCAGAGCTTTGGATTAAGAGGTTGAGAAGATTAGGCCACATTAGAGAAGATGAGGAGAAGCCAAAGAGCCCGGAGAAGCCAGTAGAGTGAGGATCCTGGGACCAAAGCAGCAAAGGCCTAGCCAAGCGTGGTGGCCTACGCTTGCAATCTGAGCACTGGAGAAGTGGAGACGGGAGGATCCCTAGTGCTCAGGGACCCGCCATCCTCAGCAGCAGGGTATGCTACTGGCCAATGAAGGCTCTGTGTCAGCTAAAAACAAGGTTGATGGGTGAGCTGCTGGCCAATGAAGACTATCTCAGCTAAAACAAGGTCGATGGTGCCTGGGGAGCAGCCAAGGTTGTTATCTGGCCTCACCTGCACACACATGAACATACATGAGTAGACACACAGACACAGACAGACACACACACACACACACACATAGGTGCGCACACATGTCTTGGCTTTGTGTGTATATGTGTGTATGTGCATTCCCGTCTATGAATGTGCATGTACCTATGCCAAGGTACGTGTGTGAAGGTCAGAGGACAAGCCTCAGGGGCCAGTCCTTGCCTTCCAGCTTGTTTGATACAGAGTATCTTTGTTTTTCCACTCTCTAAGCCAGGCTAGCTGGCCAGCAAGCTTCCTGGATACTCTCTCTCTACCTCCCTCTCCCCCTACACTAGATTACAGATGCTCACACTGCTCATCTGACTTTTTTTTTTTAAAGATTTATTTATTTATTTGTTATGTCTACAGTGTTCTGCCTACATGCATGCTTACAGGCCAGAAGAGGGCACCAGATCTCATTATGGATGGTTGTGAGCCACCATGTGGTTGCTGGGAATTGAACTCAGGACCTCAGGAAGAACAGCCAGTGCTCTTAACCGCTGAACCATTTCTCCAGCCCCTCATCTGACTTTTATGTGGGTCCTGGGGACTCAAACTCAGATCCTCATGGCCTGAGATTTTACACATGAGTCTAGGTATTGAACTCAAATCCTCTTGTTTTCAAGCAAAGCACTTACCAACTGAACTGTCTCCCTGGTCCTCATAGTCATCGTCTTTAATCCACCTACAATTCATTGACCTGTCACAGGAAGCCAGAAGGACCTCAGGAGGTCTCACGAAGGTGTGACTCTGTCTTACCTCTGCCCAACTCACTGGTGACTCCGTGGGCGGTGCCCATGAGTAGAGTGGCAGTGGTTGCTGGTCTAGGTTCTTGACTCTGATGATATGAGCTTGTGGTAACAGGAAGAGGAGGACCTGAAGGGCTCCCTGCCCCTCACCACCTCTTTCCAGCCCCCTGGAGCTCCTGGGTGTCTACCAGGCCTCCCAAACCACAGATCTCGTCTTCTTTGCAGATTTCACCGGGAAGCCCGTCTGCGTGGTCAGGGACGAGTTCTCTTTGGCACCCTTGACTCAGTCTGCGCTCTTATCCGGTTGTCTGATGGCGATGCCCACCATCTCTGACCCCATTGGGGACCCACAGTCCAATCGGAACCCCCAGCTTTCTTCTGGTGGGTACTTTGGCCACACCCTTCTACCTGGGGGCTCATAACCTCTCCCAAAGTGTGTGGTTGGGCAGGGGCCTGAGAAGGAAAGGTCCAATGCTCTTCAATCGGGGTTCCCCCTTTCCCCTCATTTCCTGAACCAATCTCATGTGTTATTCCCCCAGACCCTAATCCTCAAAAGGTGCACGTGCTTGGATTGTAACAAAGAGCAGGAGTCAGCTATTTTGGACACAGTCATGTGACTTGGAGCTAGAGATGAGAGTGACATGTGCACTCAGTTTATCGGGACCTCCCGCTGCAGTGGAGGAGGGACTTGGGAGGTCAAGCCCTGCTTTTCTGCTGCTAGGGTTTGGGAGAGTCAGGAGAATGGGGTGTGGTAGAAATCCTGTCAGACAGGGTAACAGCCAGTGCAGGACAGAGACGTGTGAGGGCTGTCTGTGGAACACTATACCTGTCGAGAGAGTGGTTCAACGTCTTAATAACAGGCATGGCATCTTTCCGGAATCTCGGTGTTGGCTCTGGGCATCTAAAAGGGAAGGGAAGCCAGATCAAACCGCTTGCATTTAGACCCAGTAGCCTAACGTCCTCCAGCATCCCCCAGAGGGGACTCAGGGAGGCTGTCAACATCAGCAATCCTTTTCCCATGTGGTTTCTAATGCTTCTCCCCGGGCAAAAAGGCTTGCCAAATGGAGGGGGCACTTCCGCCTAGAACCTTTCCCTCCATCCCAGTCCTGGCGACACAGAGAGGGCCAATAGGGCCTCCAAGATCTTGTCCTGTCCTCTCAGACACCTGGCAGAAGAATCTAAAGGACCTAGCTTCCCGAGCATTTACTAAGGAGATCGAGCCAAGGACCAATGAGCCTGGTGCCGAGCAAAGGATCGAGCCTGGAAAGAAAGCCTTCGTGAGTCCCTCCAAAGCTCTGCTGCGGGCATGGGAGGGGGCCTCCTCAGGGACGGCGGTGACAGTGAAGGTCAGAGAAACACACAACCACACCTAGCAGAGAAATCCAAGACGGGTCCCCCCCAAAGCACCCTCTAGGGTCATCCATAGCTGCTTATGGGGAAGACGTCTGAGCAGAGGCCCTCTGGCCCACTTTAGGACATGTTCAAAGAACAGAGCCTGGAGCACAGGGTAGAAGTGGGTAGTGATGGAGAGGTGAGGAGGAAGCCGACTTTGAATGCGGGGAGGAAGAATTTCTTCCTGACTTCCCCACACAGGTTAGCATTCAACTTCATCGGGAGTGGAGAATCATTGGAGGTTTTCAGACAGAATGGGGATGAGCTCCCAGGTGCCCTTCAGGGACAAAGTGGCAAAGGCAGGTGGTCTGGGGACAGACGTTTGTAATGGAGTATGTTTGGGGTAATCCAGGTGTAGAGGTGGGAACATGGCTTCCAGTCCCTGTTTGCTCATTAGGGTGCTCAGGATAACTCAGCTAAGTGTCCAGGGCTTGTTTTCTTGAAAATGTGGAGGAAAATGGCTATGGTGATGACATCTCTAATCTAAGCATTAGGGAGACAGAGGCAGGAGGATGACTGCAAGTTTATGGCTAGCCTGCTTCACACAGCAGGTTCCAGGCCTGTCGGTGCTGCTTATTGAGGTTTTGTCTCAAACTAAATAAAAGCAAAGTAAAAACAAAACCACCACCCACCCCCCGGGGGAAAAAAAAAACAGTGGAGGTACATGCTTTAGCTGGAATTACATGGACAGGAGACTCTAAGCCTGCCCTGTCCCCAGAGATCTCCCGAGGCAGAGAAAGGGTGTCAAAGGCTGGGAAAGCAGCTCATTCAGAAATCACTTGACAAAAAAAGAAATGGAAAGAGGGAGAGAGAGAGAGAGAGAGAGAGAGAGAGAGAGAGAGAGAGAGAGAAGGAAGAAGAGGAGGAGGAGGAAGGAGGAAGAAGAGGAAAAGGAGGAAGAGGAAGAGGAAGAAAAAGAAGGAAAAGAAGAAGGAGGAAGAAGAAGAAGGATCGAAGGAAGGAAGGAGAGAGGGAGAGAGAGAGAGAGAGAGAGAGAGAGAGAGAGAGAGAGAGAGGTACTTACCTTATAAGCATGGCGGAGCACACACTTATTACACTTAATCTCTCAGGAGATAGAGGTACTCAAATCTGTGAGTTTGTGAGTTTGAAACCAGCCTGGTCTACATAGTGAGTTATAACACAGCCAGGTCTATGTAGAGAGCACTTGCCTTACAAGTCTGAAGACCTGAGTTCACTCCTCAAAACTCATGTTTAAAAAGCCTGAAGGTGGGGGTGTGCTGGAGAGATGGCTCTCCAGCCACTTAAGAGTGCTGTCTGCTCTTACCAAGGATCCTGATTCAGTTTCTAGAATGCACACGGTGGCTCACAACCATTTGTAATTCCAGTTCCAGGGCATCAACAAAGGACACTACACACATCCATACGTGCAGGCAAACACTCCTAAATGAATCTTAAAAAAAAAAAGTCTAGCATAGTGATGCATGCTTGTAATCTTTACTCTAGGGAAGCAGAGACAAGCGATTTCGAGGTTAGTGAGGGACCTTGTTTGGGTGGGGGGAAGGATGAGGAATGACTCTTGAGGTTGACCTCTGCCCTCTCTGCACACACATTCACACTTGAGCACACATGTGCACCTGTATACACATGAAAATGCAAAAACACATGCACACACAAGCACAGAGGCAGGGCATGGAGAATAAAGGATGTTAAGCTGTGAAGAACAGACCTCAGGGCTGGAGAGACTGCTCAGTGGTTAAGAGCACCGACTGCTCTTCCAGAGGTCCTGAGTTCAATTCCCAGCAACCACATGGTGGCTCACAACCACTTATAATGAGATCTGGTGCCCTCTTCTGGCCTGCAGGGACACATGCAGGAAGAATACTGTATACATAATAAATTAATAAATCTTTAAAAAAAAAAAAAAAAGAATAGACTTCAGACATAGGAGCAGTGGAGGTAGGAATCAGGGTCGACACAGGGGCCTTGGCACAGGACACTACTTCCATACCTCTGGTGTTTGGAAGAGGATCTGCCTCTGGAGGACAATGAAGACCACCAGGGGCATCTGCGTTCAACCCTGGGATGCTGAGTTAGGATGCAGGAGGGCCAATGAAGGAGGACCTGGGACAGGGTGGACAGGGTGGAGCTGGCTTGACAGCCCTCCCAGGTCCCTGCTGGGATTTGGGGGAGGCAGTATCTGGTGTGGCCTGGCCTCTACTTCACCTCTTCCCCCTGCCTTCTCCCACTCTCCCCAGCCCCTAGACTGTCTTATCACCTTCCTTCCAGCAGAAGGAAGAGCCTCCTCTGAGGGAGCAGGGGGCAAAGTACTCAGCTGAGACCGGTAGGCTTATTCCAGCTTCCAGCCAAGCCCTCAGCCGCCGTGGCCACCAGGGGCAGCGGGGCCACTCTTCTGGCAGAGATGGAGGAGTCCAAGCCTCCATTCTGCAGGACCAGGACCTGCTGGTAAGCCCCACTCAGGAGGCAGGGGCTGCAGTGGTCTCAGCCTCTAGGTTCCCAGGCCTTCCAAGCCAGCCTTCTGGCCTGCCTTAGGGTGGCTTCTCCAGAGACACTGCCCCCTAAGACTGTAAGACCACAAAGACCATGCCCCAGGAGTCAGTGTCCTGGGCTCTGAGTTTCTCTGCCTCTAGACAACCGGTTATCATCCTGACCCTCTCTGCGTAAGTCTTCTCTCAGGGGTCACTGGGCAATTTGGGAGAAGCGCCTTTCCAGCGTCAACATCCACTGTTCTGAGAAAGCTGCGCAGGGACCGAGAAGCTGGGAGGGACGGGCCTGCCCAGAGCATTCTCAAGCCACAGCCTGCAAGGCTAGCCTGGACTCGGCTTCCTATGCTCCTTTCCTCCTCAAGGCTTGAAATGAGCCCCCACCGTGTGACAGGGGATGAGGGCCATTGGCGATCCCTGTGGGGAAAAAATGCATGAGTGCCCCCCAGAGCCAAAGTGTCGACACCTCTTGCTGAACGGTGGGGTCCAGCAACATGGGTAGACCAGACAGATTCTCAGGATCCCCATTCAACAGATGAAGAGGTTTAGGCTTTTGGGGCGGGGGGAGGGTGATGTTCTGTGGCTGTGTCCCACAACGGATGACTAGCCTAGCCGGGCTAGAATTGGTACTTTCTCCACCATAGGGCAACCTCACCGCATCTGGAGTTAGGTTCTCAGGTCCCGTGGGGAGGGGTCCCAGGGCAGGTAAGGAGCATTGGAAGAATGGGGAAGGAAGGGCCCAAAGGCCAGTTTCAGGGTAGGTACTGTAAGCAGGGAGACTAGGGTGGGCATCTAGCAGGTACCGGCCTGAGGGAGAAGCCCAATCCAGTTCCTATTCCACCGAGGATAAGGTGGGCCTGCCAGGGTCTGATAGGCCCCTCCAGGTCCTTGGGAAGGCTGATTGGAAAGGGCTAAGGGAACCCTACTTTCCTAGGACTCCCAGAGCTCCACCTCCCACGGTGGGTCCCCCCTCCAGCCTTCCATAGCTACAGCCACCACCTGCAACCTGGCCTAGGAAGTCCCCCAGAGCACATCCAGGACACAGATGGACCCTATACTGCGGCTGCTTGACTGGAGGAGACAGGGGAAGCCACTGGCTGAGGAGGCAGCTAGGAGCCAAGAATCCAGGCTACTTCACTGGATGGAGCCCCTCACTAGGCACTTGGCAGAAACCGCCCACTCTGGCCAGCAGGCGGCCTACAGCGAATCCCCGACCTCCTGGCTAACAACTCCAGATTCTTGGAGCTCCTGGGTGGGGAGGCCCGTGGGGTACCCCAAATCACCACCCAAAAGATACCAGCATGCAGGATTCGGTGCGTCTCTGAGGAGATGACTGGCCAGCTCTGATTTTGCGGTCCCAGTGAGGGGCCCTAGGTTCCAACCAGCCCAATGGAGACTATGGGGCTGAGAGGTCTAACCGGTCTGATATCGGAGGCTTTATTCTGTCCTAATCCCCCGCTGATGCCTTCCTTTCTCAAGGCCTCACATTCTTTACCCACCCAGCAGGAATCCTAAGGACAATTGTGAGAAAAAAGTCCCCCCCCCCTCCTCCAAGTGTTAGGTCCCATGGGTGAACCTTTAGGGGGAGTCAGTTTAGCCAAGCATGTGACCCAGGGACCCCACGTCAAGGGGAGGAGGCTGCTGTTCCCTGAACCCACATTTGCCGGAACTTCTGTGTGCTAGATAGAGTATGACAGGGACCCCCCACTGACCATGACCTGTCCTCTTTCCCACAGATCTTGGAACTTCTTTGTCAGATTCTACAAACAGATTCCCTACACGCTATCCAGTTCTGGCTGCTCTACGCTCCACCAAAGGGTGAGGACACACCATAATGTGGCCCTCTCTATATGGGGTGTATGTGTGTGCCGCCAAGATCTTGCCCTTGTTCCTGATCCCGCAGGACAGATGTCACTCTTGGGAGTCCCAAAGCACCCCAAAGGCTTCCTAGCACCACCCCTCCCTCATCCCCCACTTCTCGGCAGCATTCCTGTGGCTCTGTTCCTCAGAGGGGACCCCTCTTGAGTACTGACCTCAGGCATAGGTGTCTGGGCGAGGAAAACAGCCAAAGACTGTCCCTAGCAGACCCAGCCCCTCCTTAGCTGCTGTAGGAAACATGCATGATGATGTAAATTCAAGAACACACAGGCTTGGTACACAGAGCTCAAAGTTACACATCCGCTTTGGAACAGTGAGGGGAGGGGGAGAGGCTGAATCCCCAGGGACTAAGCTCACTGGAGGAAGGAGGCATTGGAGGGGTGGGGGAGGAGGGTAAATCCCAGGAGATTTCCAAATGTGGCCCTGGAGTAGCGAGGAAGGGAGGTGGGAGCAGGTGGAAGGGGCCACAACCAAAGTGTATACGGGCTTTTCTGGTGGGAGAGAGTGACGTAGGGCGGAGGGCTCTGCACACAGAGCTACAAGCACTGGGGGGGACCTTCCTTGGCACTGGGGAACCTATGAGGAAGTGTAGGATGATTAGAGGAAGCTGTCCTTCACCAGGGTTGGGACTAGCTGCATGAGGCAGGAAAGGGGCAGGGCTGAGGACATACATGCCCTCTGCTGCTTTCAGAGAAAGACCTGGCCCTGGGACTTCTGCAGACAGCTGTGGCTCAGTTAATCCCCCAGCCCCTCCCTTCCCTCCCAGAAGAAAATCTCTTGAGTCAACTCCAAGAGCTTCAAGAACCTCAAGAGACGCAACAGACAACCTACAGGTGGGCTCAGGGCCCTTCTGTTCCCAGAACCACGCCCTGGTGGTCAGCATCTGCCTTCCCTGGCTGAGTGACCCCCTGTAGTTCCAGCACTACAGCCTTGGGAAAGGAAGGCGGGATCCTTGAAGAACGCTAGACTAGGTGTATCGGTGTGCTTTGGAGGCAGTTGAGAGATCCTGTTTCCAGGAGTAGGGTGGAGAACATGCGTGTGGGTGCAGGATCTCACACGCTTGCACAGCCAATGCCTCAAGTGCTTAGCCATCTCCCCAGCGGTACACTGAGGACTGGAAACCGAAAAGTTGAAAGGCTGGGAAAAGGTCTTCTCAGGAGGTGGGAGGCGCCCAGGCCTGGTGGCCAGGAATGAGCAGACTGTAGGAACTAAATTTTGGGGTACTGGGGCATGGTTGAGGAAGTGCCTTAGGTTTGGAGGAGGCATATTTTGGTGGGTGGTTGCTTTGTGGATCAGGCTGGCCTCAAGCCTGCTTTGTATCTGAAGATGACCTCAACCCTCTTGCCTCTGCCTCCTGAGTGCTGGGATTACAGGTGTATACCACCATATCCTGTTTAACCAGTGCTGAGGCTGGAACCCAGAGCTTCACCCATGGTAGGCAACCCTTCTACCAACCGAGCTCCAACTTCAGCCCTCGGGCATCATAGGTTCTTGCTCCAGCCCTAGAGTTGGTTTTCTTTTACTTTTTTGAGAGAAGAAAGGAAGACCAAGGGCTTGGGGTTCATTGGTAGACAGTTGTCCAGGCCTTGGGTTCATTTCCTAGTGCGGCAACATAATAAACGTGCCAGTGAAGAAGAGCTCAACAGAGAGGTTATCATTACTGGGCTCAGACGAGAGACCCCACGCCAGCCTCTTCACCCCTCTCTAAAGCTTCCTGCCGGAGCTGGAGGGGAAATAAGGGGGGGGTGTGTGAAGGGCAACAGTAGCTTACAGATCACACAAGGTAGAAGATCCCTAGTCCCTTGTCCAGAACCAGCTTGACAGGCAAGGAGCTGTGAGAAAGGCCTCAGCCCTGGCTATCCCAGACAAGAGGATCTTGGTTCCCATGGCTACAGCAGACAAAGAATCAGAGCTGTCTGGTTCCTGCTTTGGAGGTGCAGGGAGACTGTCTGGGTCCATCTGAGGACAGTCCTACACCAGCTCTTCAGGAGCGGGTGTCTCGCCTCTTCTGGGAGTTGGTGGTTGACCACACCTATGCCAACCTCCCAACGCCTAACCAACCTACCACCTTTCGACTTGGCCTCCCAAGCCTGTCTTTTGTATTTGTTTATAGTCCGTCCCTGAAGAAGACAAAGACACCACCTTTATCCAAGGCAGAAAAACCAGGTAAGAGACCTCATAGGGAATTATTGATTCTGCAGGCACACGGAGGCCAGCTCTGGCTGGATTCCTGCCCAAGGAAGCTGGGTCGCTTCTTCATGCAGCAAACATTTATTGTGTACTTACTATGTGTCGGGCTCTGGGGAGTCACGAGGGAAGAATTGGGATAAGTTCCTTGGGAGGAATTGGGACAAGTTCCTATGTCATCGGGCTTACATCTTAGAGAGGAAGTGTATACAAAGGACAGAACCCACAGGAGGACAGCAAGTTAATTTTGGGGGGTGGGGGTGGGCAGGGGTGGGGCGCTCCCTATCCTGAGCCACAGAAGCTTCCACCTGGGAATGCCCAGGGAGAGTCTTCAAGTAGAGCTCCCATAGCCTAGTATACTGATGGAAGAACACACTGGCCAGGGTATTCGGGCCCTCTGGGTGGGGGGTAGCAGTATGAGGTAAGACAAGACAGGACCAGCCTTTTGAAGAGTGTAGGACACTCTGGAGGTTATGAGCAGGATGTGGTATGTCCCCGTGGTCACTATACATGGCATGGATGGAGGTGGTATTGGCAAGAAGGGACAAAGGAGCCCAGAGAGGAGGCCCCTGCAGTGGGCATGGTATCTTAGACCGTGGGGGGGGGGTGCGCAGCTGGAGGGGAGAGAATGCTTGTCAACAGTGGCCAGGATTCTCCCTTGTCAGGCTGTGTGGCCCTCCCAAGGGCCCAGCAGACTGTCTAGCATGCAGGAGGTGCTTGACTTGGGTTTGGTATCCAGATAAGAAAGGACCGGGGAGCGGTATGGTTCAGTTCCCCCACTGAACCGAAGGCAAAGCTGGCCTACCTCCCTATCTGCTCTCCGGTCTCTTGCCACTGCCTCTCCCGTCCTCCAGAGTTCGTGGGCAAAGCCCAAGTCCTCCGCGTGCATTCCGATGAGGACTCGGAGGAGAAAACGACCAAGACAAAGGCCGAGAGCTGAGAAGCACAGAGAAGCACTCCAGAGCATGGAGTCGTCTGCCTAGCTCAAAGGCAGCTTCTAAGCTTATGAAGGGTGGGGCTCCTGTCTCACTATGTCAACACCAGCCCCTGGTCTCCAGCCACACTCTACTAAATAAAGTGCTGCCTCCCCTGGATGAGGACAGTTCTACCCTCCCACAGGAGTGTCTGTGTTTAGATGCTTTTCTCTAGAAGAGTAGAACGCCCTCCCATGGAGAAAGCCCGGGGTACCATTCACAGTCAGCAAGGGTCTTCACTTCAGTTAATGTAATCAAGCTACTCTCCTGCCGGCATGCTCAGAGGCCTGTCTTGTAGGGGGGCGGGGAGGGGGGGGAGTCTAGATCAGAGGTCCTCAACCTCTGGGTCACGACCCCTCTAGGAGGCCATGTATCAGATATTTACATTTTCATAGCAGTAGCAAAATTACATTGATGAAGTAGCATCGAAAGTAACTTTATGGTTGGGGGGAGGGGTCACCACAATGTGGGGAATGGTATTAAGGGGTCGCAGCAGTAGGAAGGTTGAGAACCGCTGTTTCTAGATCCTGTCAAACTGACAACTAACATCAACTATCACGGCCACCATGCCTGGCTGCTGCTTTCAATATTAAAGCACCCATTCTTAAGGTCCTTAGCCATCCTATTGGTTTATATTTTTCCCCCAAGGGCAACATAAGTGACAGCTGTGCCTGTCACTGCCTCTCTGGCTTTATTGTCACCCGGTCACTAGTTGCTTCCACATTTACCTCATCCATCTTTGGAAAATAAGGTCAAATATACCAGGCAAGTTACCATCTTAGCCACCCAGAAGGTGTGGTTTGAATAAGAATGGCCCTCATAGGCTCACATAGGTAGATGCTTAGGGAGTGGCACTATTCGAACGGATTAGGAGGTGTGGCCTTGTTGGAGGAAGTGTGTCACTGGGGGTGGGCTCTGAGGTTTGAAAAGCCTATGCCAGACCCAGTGTCTGTCTCTCACCCTGCGGCCTGTGGATCCAGGTGTAGAACTCTCAGCTACCTCTCCAGCACCATGTCTGGCTGTGTGCCGCCATGCTTCCCGCCGTGATGATGGGCTAAACCAGTAAGCCAGCCCTAACTAAATGCTTTCTTGAATAAGAGTTGCTGTGGTCATGGTGTTTCCTCACAGCAACAGCACACTGACTGAGACGGAAGGGTAGTGGTCCCTCCATTGTGGGACCATCACTCCATCCGTCGTTGAAGCTATTCTGTCTTGCAGAAGTGAGACTCTGTACCTAAGGTCTTTGTTTTGTCTGGTTGAACTACTACCACCACAAAAATACCCTGGATTGTGTAATTCACAGACAACTGAAGCTCTGGAGGTCAAAACGCCCAAGGTCAAGGCTCGGGTAGGTTTGGGGTCTGATGAGAACCTATCACTCATAGATGGTATCTTCTGTATGCCAGGCACAGCAAAATGGGAAGACAGTCTTTTATAAGTCTTTAAAAGGTGAGCTCTTTTGTAAGGGTGCCTATTCATGGAGTCAGAACCCTTATGAGGCAATCCTTTCCGAAGGTCTACGTTTTCAAATTGAGCCAGGGACTCACCATTTAGCCCAGACAGGCCTTGAACTTAAAATCCTCTTGCTTCAGCCTCTCAAGTGCCGGGATTATAAAATGTGAGCCACCATACCTGGCCAAGTTCCAGTTTCTTAATACTACCAGCCACCCTGGAGACATACTACCATAATACTACCACTTTTCAACATATTAGGTTTTTTTTGGGGGGGGAGGGGGAGACAAACATTCAAACCATAGCACCCACAAAACAGTAAGCCCCCATTTACCTCTTCTCGACTGCTGGAAACCACCCTCCGATTTTCTGCGTCTGAGAGTGGAACAGCTCCTAGGTGTCTACCAGAAGAACCCTCTTTGTCTCTTTGTGGCAGGTTTGTTTTGTTTGGCATAACATCTGTGAGAGTCAAACAAGTTGTGACCTGTGTCACAGTCTCCTGCCACCTGGTTTTATGGATGGAGCAGTCAAGCTCTCCAGCCCAGACTACACAGTTTTATCAAGGTCCGAGCCCCACTGAAGGTCTGTTCATAGAGCAGGGGACATAATACCATCACCCACCTTTGCTAACAGTGCCCTCCAAAATATCCACATAGGAAAAGAATCCTAGACAACACCTGCTTCAAAAATAAACCACAGCTGGCATGAAAACCCTGGCCCTATGGTGGGCCCTTCTTCAATTTCTCAAGGTGTATTGCTAGGGGTGATTACCTGTCACTGTGGATTCTCATTCATTTTGGTTCACGGTTCAGTCCCTGGCCAGTGGCTACCCTGCCATAGTCCTGAGAGGCAGAACGTCATGATGACAAAATGTCATGGTGAAGAGGAGTATGAGGTAGAGGCAGCTGCTCACTGCAGCCAAGAAGCAGGGAGAAGAGAGAGGAGTCTAGGACCAGATGTAGTCTCTGGGGACATACTCCCCCATTGGGCACTTCCCTCCAGCTAGTCCTCAAGTTCCCACCCCAACTCCAAAAGTTCCCATCACCTCCCAACAACTGGAATCCATCAATGGGTTCATCTTGAGGTAGGAGCCCCTTGTAATTTAATCACTTGGAGTTGAATGGGTTCAGCCATTTGCAGGGTGGGGGGCGACTACCTGGGATGTCCACTCCTCCTCTTCCAAGGTTTACAGAAAGCCCAGCTCTGTCCAACCAGAGCACAGAACTGGCTAATGGGGAAGACAAGCTTTGGGCCAAGCATAAGCCGGCCGGCCTTGGGAAGATTTTGTGCTGGCCCCTGAAGATCACAGGATGCTGACCCCTGAACTTCACAGGATGCTGTCTATCGTTGGCCATCAGCACTCCATGGAGACAAAGTGCTGGGCACAGCCTCTTTATGTCCTTGATTATCCCACATTCATTCCCATACGTGAGGCATTAAAATACCAAGCGTGGCCGGGTGCTGGTGGCGCACACCTTTAATCCCAGCACCTGGGAGGCAGAGGCAGGTGGATCTCTGAGTTTGAGATCAGCCTGGTCTACAGAGTGAGTTCCAGGACAGCCAGGGCTGCAACATAGAGAAACCCTGTCTAGAAAACAAAAAGAAAAAACAAAAACAAAAACCAAAAAAAAAAAAAAAAAAAAAAAAAAAAACAAAAAAAACACCCCAAGTGTTAACTTTTATGCTTATTTGTTACATAAAACCTCACCGTGTTTAAGAGCATGGCTCAGAAGCATCAATAATGTTCCAGCCACTCTGGAATCTTCCTCATCCTCTCCCAGAGTGGCTCCTCGTGCAAAAACCAAACCTCTGCTGCCATTAAACAGGAACTCTCCTTCCCTCCTCCAAGGCACTCCAGCCCTTGTTCCTTGTTTTGTTTCTGAGGGTTTGGTGGCTCTGGATGCCTCATTTAGAGCACCTCTTCGTGATGGCTTACTCCACGTAACAATACTTTTCGAGGTTCATCCATGTAGCATGTCAGGATTTCCTACCTTTCTGAAGGCTAAATAACATGCCACTGCATGGATAGATCATGTATTTGGGGTGTGTGTGTGTGTGTGTGTGTGTGTGTGTGTGTGTGTGTGTGTGTGTGTATTGCTAGAAAAGTGCTCTACTGTTGTGGAATATTAATTTCACCAAGCAAAGATATGTCACATTTGTTTATGTGGCAGAATATTACTTTAACTGTATAAAGGTGTGTTATATTTGTTTATGCTGCATTTTTTTAACATGTAAGGACGTGTATTTAATATTGTAACGATGTGTTGCGTTTGTTTCACCTTGCCTGCCTAAGGCACCTGATTGGTCTGATAAAAAGCTGACCGTCCAAGAGTTAGGCAGGAGAGGAGGTGGGGCTGGCGGGCAGAGAGAATAAATAGGAGGGGGAATCACGGCTCAGGAGAAGAAGAGGATGAGGGAGGAAGAGAGGAACACGCCTAGGGCAAGAAGCCAGGCGGCCCCTGACAGGAGACGCAGTGAAAGGAAGATACACAGAAGGAAGAAAAGTAAAAGGCCCTGAGGCAAAAGGTAGCTAAAGAGAAACAGGTTAATTTAAGTTAAAAACTAGCCAGAAATGAGCCTAATCTAGGCCGAGCATTCAAAACTAATAATTCTGTGTCATGATTTGGGAGATGGCTGGTGGCCCAAAAGAAAAAGCCTGGTACATTCCATCACTGAGTTACATTCCCTGTCCTGCCCCGAGACCACACTGTTGGTATACTTATTCCTTGATGCACAATGTCAGGTGGGTCCCACTTCTGCCCATTGTGTACAATGATTCTCTGGGAATAAGCATCATGGCTACAGCAATAAATTTCTATGTCACATGTCAACAAAAGAACCCAGAACTAACCTAAAGATATGTAATATGCTAGAGAGAAGGTTCTAGAATTAGAATCTTTATCACCAGAGTCCTGTTCTTAGTTCCTGATGAGCCCCTTCATTCCTAAATATGAGCCATGCCTACCTCCCCACCGTGAATTTTGTTACAACTGCTGATCGCCTGTTCTAGTCCTAATATTGCTTACATTTATCCATTTTATTCCTAGATGTAATCCTGTTCCAAGCAATAGTCTCTCCACATCGTAGTTTTAGTGTATTGTTTATAAAAGTTTCTCCCGTACATGAAAATAAATTCTGGGGCTGGCAAGATGGCTCTGTGGGTAAGGGCATTTGCTGTCAAGCCTAGCGACCTGAGTTAGATTCCCGAGGACCTACATGGTAGAAGGAGAAACAGACTCCTTGCGAGTTCTCTGACTCCCACTACTGTGTCCTAGCACGTGTCCTCAAACTCTCTCTCTCTCTCTCTCTCTGTCTCTCTCTGTCTCTCTCTGTCTCTCTCTCTCTCTCTCTCTCTCTCTCTCTCTCTCACACACACACACACACACACAAAGTGAAT